AAGTAAGAACGATTTGCGTTCAGATGGTTTGCGGGTGCCCCCCCCCCCCTGGTCGCCAGGGGCACGGGCACCCCTTCGCCGTCGTCAGCCCAGCGGACGATTCCACCAAGCCGCCAGCGGATGCCATCTGGATGTGCAAACCTTGCCACGAGTGGGTCGAGCAAGAGGCACCAGACGCGTGCGTCCGCGATTTCATCACGGATATGACGCAGGAGGATACGCACCCAGAGCTCCGCGCCGCCATGGGGGTTGACGACAATACTGAGGCGGTGCCAGCAGTCGACAGTGATGGCTGCCCCATCGGCGCGCCGATGGAGCTGACTTCTGGGGAGGAGGTCGGCTACCTGATCGAGGAGAGTTTCGAGCTCGTGACTTCCAACGAATTCCACTCACTGGCGAAGACAACGACAACGGCGGCAAAAGTAAAAAGCGTGACTAGGCGAAGCCCGCTGACGGGGAAGTTGGAGACGCGCTATGCCTTTCCACTACCTGGCCGTCCTCGGCCAGTGCTGAAGGTCTACTCCAAGGTCGCGGTCAAGGTTGCCAAGAAGCGTTGCAAGCAGGGGATGGCCGTCAAGTTCAAGCAGCACATGGGGCTCGCCTTCAGGGGCCTTGTCAGCAAGGTGATCGGCAGCAGTGGAGTGGGATCACTGAACCGCTTCATGTCCACCTTAGATGACCACTCGAAGAAGGTTGAGCCGCCGACTCCTGCGAGGTCGGAGGCGAGCAGGCCGTCTTCTGCAGCATGTGCGACGCCTCGCCGAGTTCAGCAAGGGCTCGCAGGCAATGGTGGCAGCTTGCTTGCCATCGAGAACGGCGCCACCGATGCACCAGACCCCTCTGAGCTCGAGTTCGAGGGCAGCACCCTCGCGGACGTGGATGCCGCGATCGCCGTGGCAGATGAGGTTCCTGGTGACGTTGCGTTTGAGCTTGGCATGCCTGCGGTGTCAATCCCACCGAAGCTGAACCAGGATGCAACCACGGAAAAACTGGGGACTGCCAAGCACTGGATCGACAGGAGCCCTTTGCGTGACGTGTTGCTCGGCGGCGAGATGAAGCGAGAGATGTGCCAGCTCAGGACCACCAAGCAAGCAAAGGACTCCACCAAGCTTCAGCGGGACAACGCGTCGAAGCACATGGACCTCATCGAGATGTGCTACGAACTGTGGCCCAGCAAGCTTGACCAGCTCACGAAGGAGCGGAAGCTCACCATCATCGAAGCCATTTGCAATCAGAACATCGAGTGGCCGAGCTTCACGCAGACGTACTTGTTGAAGTACGAGCTGTCAGAGCACTGGCGCGCCATCAAGAAGATGGACGAGCCAGGGCCTGCCTTGAGGAAGGTGTGCGAGACGCTCCAGGTGGAGGGCTTCGCTAACTGTGCTCCTCCTCCTCCTCCTCCTCCTCCCCCTTCTCCTCCTCCTCCTGCTCCTGCGCCTGCTCCTGCTCCTGCTCCTGCTCCTGTTCCTCCTCCTCGTCCTCCTCCGCCTCCCCCTCCTCCTCGTCCTCCTTCTCAACCTCCGTCCCCTTTCTCCTGATCCTCCTCCTCCTCGCCCTCATCCTCCCCTCTTCGGCCTTGCCATATCGTAGCCTCTTTCGGTTTCGCTGGCTCGCATTCGCCCTTCACACCTGTCGTGGCATGGCTCTTGTTACTTGCCATCCAATGGAGCTTCCACCCCTCCCGACCCTCACGATCGCAGGATTCGTCTTTCGCGTCCAGTCTCAAGTCACACCTTTCGTCTCCTCGCGCCCTTGGGCCCTATATAGTTCCTCCTCTCATGCCCGTGGTCATTCTCCTTCCTCCCGACGCTGTGTTTTCATCGTGCTCCTGTTTCCTTGGTGTTCGTCCTCCTCCTCCTCCCCCCTTCTCCTCCACCCCGTGCCCGACCCCGCTGATCGAAGGTGTGGTTCGAGATGGGGGAGCGCCCATCGAAGCCCAACATGGCGAATCTGACGATCAGGACCAGCACCCTGTCCGACACCGAGGCTGCTGGCTTCTTCTTGACAGAAGTGTGGGTCAACCATCTTGTGGATCCGCGACGCTTTGCGTATCTCCGCCAGAGACGCCGTAACGTGCGCTGAATGATTCAACATTGCGGAATGATTCAGCACACGTTACGGCGTCTGCGCCCATTGAAAGGTCCATCGCATGTTGTAGGCGTGCGCCGTTTGATCCAACATTTGCCGAGGGCGGTACATCAGGTCATGAACGATCCAGCGCTGGCTTGCTGTTGCAGCGTGCGGCGGTGTCGTCAGACCGCGTTGGGTCGATCATCACGTACCGTCGGCAATTGTAGAATCATGGCGCGCATGCCGACACCACGCGTTGAGTGTTCCGTCGGTTGTCGGCGACGGTGGCGGCGTTGACGACGACGAGAGGGGGGGCATAATGTCTTCGCGGGGCATTCGGTTCAGGAGCCTCTTGGAAGTTACACATTGGAGCCATTTTGGGGCAAGCATGGAACCCTTGTTGGCCTTATGCGAGCTCTCTCGTTGCTCTACGTGGGCCCCCTCAGGGTGCCTATAAGGACATGTTTACTCCAAGCGTGACTTGCGACCTGAAGAGGGTTCCAATTATCAGGCTCACCTGGATCAGGCGCGGGGTGCAGGGCAGTAGCTGCGTCTTGAGCTTTCCTTGGGGTACTTGTGGGGGGTTATCTTAGTTGCTCGTGGGGCAGGCGCTGGGGCTCCGGGGGGCCCTAGGGGCTCTCTTAGGCAACCGTCGCGCAGCCTTGAAGCTTTAGGCCACCCGCTGGCGGGGAAGAAAGCATGCGACAGTGGCGTCTGCTTCCCCTCAGGATCTGAAAGGCCTGGGTCCTTTAATGAGAGCCTGGCATTCGAAGGGCAGCTGGGGCCGTCCTAGAGCAGGTTGATGCCTTTTTTGGAGGTACGCCAGGGGCTACTATAGCTCACACTGAACTGTCGTGGTCCATATTGGAGCTGTCGTTCTCTCTCTCTCTCTCTCTCTCTCTCTCTCTCTCTCTCTCTCTCTCTCTCTCTCTCTCTCTACGGCCATCTCTAGGGCCGCCCTCGGTCATTCTGGATGCTCTAGAAGCAGCACGTTCCAGACTTCTGAGATTCCCAGGTCCAGGGGGGAGTACAAAATCTGAGGATGGGAGAAGGGTGTTTTTTTGGATGCGTCGGACAGGCAGCGAATCCATACACCTGTGCCCAGAGGGCTGGTCGGATTGGATTGCGGAAGGCCCCGACGCAGAGGGGGCCGTCTTCTTCGTGGTGTCTGAGGCGCCCAGGATGCTCTCTCTCCCCGAGGAGGCCGAGACAGTCGATATAGGCCCTGCGTGCGCCCAGGCCCTCAGCGACTTCGAGCGCCTCTGCGAGGTGGTCTGCCTGCTGAGCTTGCCCAAGCTTCCTGAGACGACGCCTTTGCACATCTTCGAGGCCATCGACCACTTCTCGAAGTCCCAGGATAGCCCCGCCGAGAATAACATCTGGAGCGTGGTGGCGAAAGCTTGCAAGGAGAGCGTGCACTGGCAGCAGAAGGTGAACAGCCTCACGGAGACTGCGAAGATCTGCAAGCATTTCTTCCCTGACATTTCCAAGTGCAAGCAATCGCTGGACGACATCAGCGCGACGCCCACTGAGGAAACGGCCGATACCTTAGCTGATGTTGCCACGAAGTTCGAATACTATGAGAAGGAGATCGGTGCCACGCACGTTCAGAGACTGGCCGACGTCCTCATCGAGAAGTTCTTGGCGCACGTCAGGGCCATGCCCCGTCCTGGAGCTAGCGACGATGCGACCGACGTGAACGTGAACTCGGTTGTGCAGAAGTACCTTGAGCTGGTTCAGGTGCTGTCGCGCGCGATGCCACTCGAGGAGCAGGCGATGACGGCTCGGGACGATCTCATGCAGGCGAAGGCGGCCCTGGTAGCGGAGGCCTCGTTGAAGAAGGCGAGTGCGTCCATCGAGATGTTCAAGAACGGATCTTGCTCGCCTGAAAACGTCCGCACCACCCTCAGCAAGATGGCGAAGGCAGCTGCTGATGACACGGGCGCGGCCGCTGGCATCTCCAGGGAGGCGGCCGACATCATCGACATTATCTTGACGAAGCCCTTCGATGCCATTCTCGCCGACACGAAAAACTTGACAGCTCTTGCGAAGGAGGCCAAGGCCCACGTCGACGTTTCGAGATCTCGATGGGCGAATGGATGTGCGTCGCTACTTGGTTCGATCAGCAAGCTGCTGAGCGCCGTCACGGGGATGGGGAGCACAGATGACGGCGCGGACGCGGTGATCGGCCAGCCTGACTTCGATTCGAAGATGGTTTGCTTCGGCCGCGCGTTGAAGCAGTTCGGCAAGCTCGAGGAGCCCAGCTTGGACGACGAGGGCCACGTGCAGCTGTATTCCATGGCCAAGGAGTGGTTCGACCAGCACGCGGAGCGCCGCACGGCGCTCATGACGAGACACCTGGAGATCATCAACGCCGGCGTGGAGCAGGTCCACGCGACACTGCAGAACTACTCGAGTTCAGAGGAGACCAAGAAGTTCATTGATGAGGTGGAGTCGGGGGGCGACTTCAGCAACGTCGTGAAGACCTACGGTAAGACGATCAGCAGCTACGACTTCGATGACATGGAGAGGGCCGTGACGGCCATGACCAAGGCCGACTGCCTTCCTCAATCTCTTGATCCACTGGAGGGGAGGAGGAGGGATGAGGACAGGAGAGGTGGAGAGACAAGAGGAAGTTCGAGCAGGGGAAATTGGTGATGGGAGGAGTGGTGGAGAGGTAAGGGAGGAGAAGGACAGGAGAGAAGGAAGGAAGCAGAGTATTGTTTGGGAGGCGGGCCGCAGGGGGACACGCGAGGACAGAGGAAGATGGAGGGGAGGGATGGGAGGAATGGAGCGGAGGAGAGAGAAGGGAGGACGGAGGAGGCCTGGTGAAACAATGGAGGAGGGATGAGAGGAGGGAGGGAGAACGAGGCAGGAGACTTCAGCTGAGGACCGAGGAGTTTTTTTTGCAAATCTGATCTCGGCGCAAGGCCGTGAACCAGCTGGAGAACAAAGCCAAAGAGTACAACATGCAGGGTGAGCATGCCGAGTCTGTGAAGACTGGCAGGGAGGTGGTGACCCAGGCTTTCTCGGTGCTCTATCGTGGCCGCGTGGTGGAATCGTGGAACGGCGTTGCAAGCTCAGACGTCGTGAGGATCAGGACGTCTCTCGTGAGCATCCAGAAGTCGATGTGTGCCCAGAGCCTGACGCCTTCGAAGGTGCTCGGCGGGCTACTCACTGACGTGTTCAGGAAGGGGCTCCGCTCGCAGGTGGTGTCGTGAGCAGCCGCGAGCCTCGCTGCTTCTGCGCAGGCCACTGTTTGCAGTGGCGCTCGACGTGATGGTGGTCCTGGGGCCCGCCGAGATCGTCGAAGAAAAATCCTGGGGTCGTCTTGGGGCGACTCTGCGTCATCCTTCTCGTCTTGCGCCTCCACCTCCTCCTTTTTCTCCCTTGCTGCCCCTGGCCCCCTCCCACCACTCCTGTTTGGTTCACGCTGCGTTGCAATCCTCGCGTTGCCGAAAGTGCAGCCCTTTGCGAGGAGACCCCTGGGAGGGTCAGTGAGGTGGGCACGTGAGCCCATCGAGGTGAGCCCAAACGGGCTCGCATATGCGGCATCAGTTCGCGCTGGCGTTGCAAGATGTCTTCAACGCAACTGCCGATGAGCGCCCAATAACACTGGCGCGCATTATTGCAACTGCAACTGATTGCGCAGTGGCGCTTGCATTGTTTAACGCCACGGCTCGCGCATCTATTATGCGCGTCCAAGGGCGCTCACGCAACGACGAGCGCTCACCACCCACCAAGCCCGCAAAGCGGGCATCTGCGCCGCCTTGCGACGCACCGCATAAGTAAGAGTGCGGATGGCTCGCGCGTGGCGCACAGGGAGGGCGCGCCATTGGGGCGCGAAGGCACGAACAGTGCGCTCACCCGACTGCCGCGACCACGCAAGGCTTACGCGGGCCAGGCGTCTGAGGTGAGGCTGCGCGCGGGTCTGGTATTTCCTGTTTTAGAAGGGCGCGGTTGTCGGCGCACGATTGTGGTGGCGTGTTTGCGCCGCGGGTTCCGCGCGATTGGTTGCGCGGCGAACCGCTTTGGTTGGCGTCGCCTCTGTGCGCGAAAGCCCTGCCCAACGCAAAGCCTTTCCGTGTTGGAGCGCGGCTGCTGACGCGCCAACGGAGGTTGGGTCGTTACAGCACGGTGGGCAATTATTCTGCTTATTTCACGACCATCGGGGTCAACGCCCCGTGTTGTGTAAGCTTGAACAGTTAGTTGTTGGCTTGTGCCGTAGCGCGCGTGGGGTATGCCATCGCCTTGCGCCCCACACTGTTCGCGCATGCGTGCAGAGTGGCGCCGCCATTGCTGCGTGTTGGGCGAGGTGGGGGTCGGCACGAGAGCGCGGAGTTGTTCGCGCAGCGCGAAGCGCGAAGTTGGGCGTCCCTGTTTTTAGACTCGACGCTGGTGTACAGGAGACAGATGGCTGCGGAGGCGGAGAGGCTCTGCGGCAGTCCCGCCCATCCCGCCTGCGCTGGGCCATGCACGGTGGGGGCCAATGCCAAGAGACACCCTGCTTGCCTCCAGGGTGGCCTGGGTTTCTTGGTTTTCGATGGCTTTGCAATGGAAAACGTGACGTCCCGACACCACAAACCAATGGACGTCCTGGGGTCTCAGGGTTGGGTGTGTTGTGGAAGGTTTCTTGTGGTCGGGGACCCCGACTGTATCTCGCCAGAAACCGAATTGAGAAGGATCTTATACGATGCTCGAATGCTGGGGGCGGACAAACTCCGCGCCCTCCATGCTGCTGTCCGGGTGGACCTCTCTCTTGGACTCTCTTTGTGTGCTGTGCTGTTCGCGTCCACAAAAAAGGCTAACCAGTCGTCTCGGCAGTTTCCCTGCTCGCCTTTGCACCGCTGGCTGCAGCTCGCTGGCGCGTCAGGGTAAACTTGAGGGATCCACGAACCCTGTAAGGAATTTGAATCACATTTTCTCCTGACACACGTGCTATACTTCACGTATTTTGGACCACTGCCACTACCTCCTGCCTATCATCATCATCATCATCATCATCATCATCATCAGCATCAGCATCAGCATCATCATCATCATCATCATCATCAGCAGCAGCAGCAGCAGCATCGTCATCGTCATCATCATCATCAGCATCATCATCAGCATCAGCATCAGCATCAGCATCATCATCACTACCATCATCATCATCAGCATCATCAGCATCATCAGCATCATCACCAATATCATCATGATTAGTATCATCCTCATCATCATCAGCATCATTATCATCATTATCATGAGTATCCTGCATCCTACCCCTTTGTCGCTCGTCCGCCTTCCTCGTCTTCGTTGTCCTTATCATCGCCTGCCTCGTCCTGCTCATCCCCGTCCCCTGCCTCCTCCTCGTCCTCTTCCTCCTCTTCTTCCCCATCCCCGACAGCGTCGGTTTGGGAAAGTCCTTTGGAAAGTCCTCTTCTTCCCCAATATCCCCCTCTCTCTCTCTCGCTTTCCTACTTTCTCTTGCTTTTCACCTCTTTCCACTTCTTCGCTCTCCCGATCTCACCTCCTGAAGGCCGTGGACACGAAAACATGTGCCCCGCGCGCACGCTCCAGGCGCATGTTGGGTCCCCCCTCCGCGCATATTTTCACGTGTATGGAATCTGCCGACTAGAAGTTGAGTCCCTCCCTGGGGGCCATGCACACGTCGAAACAGGTTCCCCGCTTGCACGCGCCAGGCGCATGCTGGGCCCCCCTCTCTGCGCACGCATTTTGACATGTCAAGAATCCGCCGACTAGAAGTTGGGTCCCCCCCTGGGGGCCGTGTATACGTGAAAACGCTTGCCTCGCGCGCATGCGCACGGCGCATGCTGGGTCGTTCCCCTCCGCGCACGTACATCTTACGAGAAGAGATTCCGCCGACTAGAAGTACGTTGGGCCCCCCTGGGGGCCGCGGACGAGTGAAACCACGTGCCCAGCGCGCACGTGCCAGGCGCATGTTGGGTCCCCCCCCTCCGCACATGTATCTAGTGGTCTTCGGCCCATCCCGCTCCCGTGCCTGGGTTGTGGGTATGAAGCCCATGGGATGTTCGTTGGGATCTCGTGGGAGGCCTCTTGGGGGCTTCTTGGAGGCAGTTCGGACTCCTCTTGGGGGCCCGTGTCCGGGCGTTTGGGGGGCCGCTTTTGCGCCTTCTGGGGGCCTCTTGGGACCTCTCGGGGGCCTCTTGGGTGCCTCGTGGAGCCTCCTGGGCGCCTCTTGGGGCCTCCTGGGCTCCTGGAGGCCTCTTGGGGCGGAAGGCTCTGATTGTCGGGTCGTGCTCCCTCTCTTGGGCCCCTTTTGGGTCCGTCTGGGGGCCCTCTTGAGCCGTTTTGGGCACCTCTTGGGCCGTCTTGGGACCCTGTTGGGCCATTTGGGGCCCTCTTGGAAGGCTCTTGGGCCATGCTAGGGTGGTCTTGGGGGCCTCTAGGGCCGTCTGCGGGCGTCGGGAAACCGAAAAGGCGAGATCGCCAACATCTTTCAAAAACCAACGGAGATCAATGATTTTCGGCCTCTTGGGAGGCCTCTTGGAGGCCTCTTTGAGCGTCTCGGAGGCCTCTTGGGGCCATCTTGAGCATCTTGGAGCGATCGTTCGGCGACTCGGGGCCCTCCTTGACCGTCCTGGGGGGCCTCTTGAGGCCCTCTTGGCCCGTCTTGGCCCTCTTGGAGCCGACAACCTCATGCGACAACACTTCCTGCAGTCCAGGGGGCACGCGACAAGCCCCTCGGGGAGCGGGAAGCCCTGGGAGATTTGAGAGCGAGGGGTCCTGGCGCCTTCAGGACTGCTCAGGAGTGAGGGTTTTGAGGCTTACAGGACTGGGCCCAGGGCCTGGGGACACGCCCACTCCGTGCCCAGAGGCACGGTGGCAGACTTACGTATGAGGAATCCGACGACTCCTGAGGGCCGTGGACACGTGAAAACACGTGCCCGCGCGCACGCGCCAAGCGCATGCTGGGTCCCCCCCCCCTCCGCGCACAGATTTTCACGTGCGAAGAATCCTACGACTAACCGAGAACCATGGAGAATAACCCCCCTGGGATAGTAAAGTTCGGGGTTTTCGGGGAGATAATAAAAGTTGCCCGCCAGAGCCAGCATAAAGAGATGTCAAGAGGAAAAAGCCAAAGGTATCATGAAGCTCCCGAGGGGGAAGGAGAAGAAATACAGAGAGTTAAATAGAAATATTGAAAGAGAAGAAGAGGAAGGGGAGGCAGAGGAGGAAGAGGAGGAAGAGGATGAGGAGAAGGATGAGAAGGATGAGAAAGAAGAAAAGGAAGAGGAGAAGGATGATAAGGAGGAAGAGCAGGAGAAGCAGAGCAGGAGGTAGAAGCAAACATCCAAAGTTGAAAACTTAAACTTACTTATTTTGTAAACGCTTAATGACAATTAAATTTTCATCTGCTCGTGTAGGGTAGCTCATGTGCTTAGTTTTCCCAGGATAATCAACCCAAGCGGTAAACAAGTTCAGGGCGCCAGAGGGAGGAGGAGAAAGAAAGACAGAGAGAGAGAGAGAGAGAAACAGAAAACAACACAAAGCAATATAAGAAGGAAGTAACCTCGATGGCGAACTTTCCCCGTGATGATGAAGTTCGCCCTCCGCGCCCTCCGCCTCTATTTGAAACCCGTCTAGGCCGACGATAAAAAACTCAAACGACTTAAGGGGGGGGGGTACTTTATTATCCTGGGTATGCGGTTAGGTAGAAAACTAAAATTTGGGTACCCCCAGGGGCCGTGGACAATTGAAAACACGTGCCCTGCGCGCGCCAGGCGCATGTGGGGTTCCTCCCCCGCTCCGCGCACGCATGTTCACGCGTAGAGAATCTGCCGACTAGAAGTTTGGGTTCCCCCCCGGGGCTTTCTGGTACCCTGCCAGGGGCCCGCCAATGCCAAGGGAACCCTGGGCTGGAGCCCTTACCGGTAAAAAAACGCGCGTGGCGGCCTGGCTGGGCTTGGCCTTCCCCTCGGGCCAACGGCTTCGGCTTCGCTCCCACACACCAAGGCCCATTTCGATCCGATCGATCCGACTGGTTTCGGCCGGCTCGATCCGATTCTATTTTGGAACCTTGGTATCCCGACGATCCGATGCGGCCCCGATGCTCGCATGGCGCTTCTGTGCATCCTGGCGCAGGCGATCCGATTCGACTTAGACTACTTGCCGACGGGTCCGACGCACTTCCGAGTCGAAGTTGATTGATACTGCACAAAGTGCTCAATTTACTTTGAGCGTAGCC